CTTCATCCCCTCCACCACCAACTTCACCCTCTCCACCACCTAAAGCAACCAATGCGAAGCGAGCTGCTCCTTTCTCACCCAAACCTCGCCCACATCAAAAGAAGACGGACCATCCGAGTAGTGCAGAAGCTTTAATGCTTCTTGCTTCAGTCAGCAAGGATAAGTTGGAGGCTAAGGAGTTAGACCGTAAGGAAGCTATTAGGGTCCGGGATGAACGACAAGCGAAAATCGATAAGATGAACCATGATCGAGATATTCAAATCGAGAGAATGCGAAATGAAAGAAGGGCAGAATCAGAAGCTAACGCACTCGAGCGACTTTGCTTCAATGAAAGTCGAATTCAGGCCAAGGTGGAGAAGTATCCTAATCAAGTGAAGGCAATGGACACCTTTCGATCAGAAGTCAAAGATAATATCACAGACCCACTTGAAAAAATGAAAGCTGCTATTATTTTAAATGTTGATGAAAAGGCTTTTTTCTTCAATCAACTACCTGAGGATATGAGATGGGATTGGCTCAAGAATGAAATCAATGGCAAATAGATTTATCTTGTATCTACATTATCTTGTGATCTAATAACATAAACATCAAATTTTAATTCATCTCCACTGAAATTAAAAACATTTCACTTTTTGAATTTGTATCTAAAATGAAATCTATTTGAATATCATTCCACCCAGATTTCAATTCATCTTCACTGAAATCAAAAACATTTCACTTTGTGAATTTGTATCTAAAATATTCTTTAACTGAAATCAAAAACCTTCTTTGTGAAATTGTATCTGAAATTTTCTTGAGTCTATTTGAATACAAACTAAACTATAGTTTATCTCCATTGTCTTCTAGGATGAGCCATATATTCATCAAACATTGCCTGTGCCATAGTGTCCCGAGCAGCATGTGCCTCATTTTGAATGCCAAGATCTGGTTCTTCATAATTATCATTTGCTCTGGCCTGTGCCCATTCTGAATTTTGAGTATTCTCTTGCTCCCTTTGCAGCCGGTCAAACTCATCATAGAAATAGTCTTCTCCAGCCTCTCGTATTATATTGTGTAAAACTGCACATGCTACCACAAGGGAATATTGAACTTCCAGCTCATACCTAGGCATGAATTTCATAACTTGTGATCTCATTTCATCACACCAAATAGCGCTCAATAACATTCCGTGCTGTAGCATGACGTAAATTGTAAAGCTCTTGAGGAGTGCGTGGAGCACGGTTGCCAATGTGCCATTCTTGAAGATGATATCGTGTGCCTGAGTAGGGAATGAAGACATCTGGGCGATGGGCATAACCAGAATCTCCTAAATAGTATCTTCCTGCAAATACATTTGAATTAGAATTTCAACTCCAACTTTAAAAAGCATTAAGAGAAATTTTCACCTTCAGGTACGATGAAAGCACCGTTCTCACGGGCTTTGGAGATCACAAAGGAGTCATGTGCCCTACCTCCAATTCCAGCGTAAATAAAGAGGAACTTCATGTCAAAAGAACAAGCTGCTAGGACATTTTGTGATAATGTACCATGTCAATTTCGATGTTTAGATCTGTCAGCAAACGTGACCTGAGCTTTGATATGGGTGCCATCAAGAGCTCCGATGCAATGTGAGAACCACGGATTAAGTTTTGGATTGTCGGCTATTTTGTCAGGTATTGGAGCTTCAGGTCCAGGTTGAATGATCACAGTATCAACAAGTCCCTCCAGAGCGTCTTGCACAATGTGGAAATATCGATGGATTGTTTCGGTTGAATGTTGGAATCGTTCCGCAGCGTGTCTCATTTCAAGAGAATGACCAGAGATGAATAAAAATATCATTACTTGCTCAGTGATTGATACATGCTCTGAAGGTTCCAATAAAGGCTCAA